CTGAAAAAGGGGAAGATGAGCATTGTTTCTAAGATGAATGGCTCATCTCTCCTTGATTGTTTTATTCTGAGGGAGGATTCAAGGCCAGAGGACGAGACATTGTTTCTAAGATGAATGGTCTAAGTCTGAGGCCTCAGGACCATAATAAGAGCAAGGGAATAAAAATCTCTATAATGTTGTATGTATATATATGTACTTATATGCAAACAAGGCTAGTCAGGCATTATTTTTAAGATGAATGGCCTGACTATAGCCTTATCACAAGCGAAGAGAGTATAATCGAAAGTTAAAATTGAAGGTAACTTGGGCAGGCTGAGCATTGTTTCTAAGATGAATGGCTCAGCCCTACGCCCTCTTTCTGAAGACTAAGGTGCAGAAAGGTATATATAACTTGGCTATTTAAACAGTTCAGGACGACTAAGCATGGTTTCTAAGATGAATGGCTTAGTCACAACGAAGAAAAAAGTAGTTGTGCAACCTGTTCGTGTATAACTGCGGCAGGGGGCTGCCATTGTTTCTAAGATGAATGGTCAGTCCCAATGCCCTATGTTAGCAGAGTATAAAGGGTTAAAACACTGAAAGACTATGAACTAATGTTTGCTAAGTCAACCTGGGGTGGGTGAGAGTACTTACCTTTGTGGTTTGGCCTGCATGTGGCTGACTGGCATTGCTACCTAGTCTGAGTTTGGGTTGATAGGTAGTTGTTGTAGTAGCTCGCTACGTGCTAGAGCTATAGGAGTTAGATTCAAATTCTGGATTTCCTGAGATAGTTTTTTTTACTTAGTTCGATTTCTGCATTTATCTGAGGTCTTTTTTCGCACTTGGGCTTGTATAAATCTTGGGAAGCCACTTTTCCTACGGGAAACGCTGTCGAAATTTCTGCAAATCCAAGGAGTTAGACAAATATCTGACTTTCCAAAAGTTCGACTGCCTGAATCATATATGGATTAGTAGGAATCTGGGAAGTCTCCCTTTCTAAGGGGAGTGCTGCCCAAATTTTTACTAATTCAGGGAGTTTGACAAAATTGAGCTTTAGAAAGTCAAAGACTATTCCTGCTTTTATATTTAGGCTTATATGAATTCTGGAAAGGCAGTTTTCCTACGGGAAGTGCTGCCGAAATTTTCTTAGTTTAGAGGAGTTAGATTATATAATGACAGGTGGCAGAGTTGACAGTCCACTCTATATAGGGGAAACCCAACCAAAGGTTTACCTTTTCTTTGAGCCCTGACTTAGGATAAGGCTCAGACCTAGTTGGCTACCAGGAGATTAGATAGGATCACCATATAGAAGGTAGTTTGCATAAGGCTTAGGGGTTTAAGTCTTGGGCGTTGACCTGTCTTGTGTTACAGGCCAGCTGATCGATCAGATTCAGGACCTGGACTGGGTTTAGCTGATCCCTAGAGGGTCACCTGCTGTTATCATTGATAACAGGTCGGTTGTCGATTCGTCTGTCTGTGACTCAACTCCAGCTCACTCCCCATACTCAACCTAAAAGGTTTTAGCCGTGATGATCTTTTTGTTTGTTAAGGGTTTCACCCGGACTTTTATTGAATGGTCATTTAACAAAGGTACTGAGTACTTAATTAAGGTTGGTTGGCTGGAGGTTGGGGCTTGCATGGCTAAAGCGAGGGGTATGAGTATAGGAACTGGTTGGASTTGACTCYGTGTAGTGTGTGGACTCTTGTTTGACTTTTGATGTGATTGYAGGTATGTTCAGTGACCTGGGKTTTTGGTTGGACTGCCTTGCGGTTACACATATATGTATGGCTACGAGGAGACCCACTATGATTGTGAGAAGTGATCGTCACATACTTACCCCCCCCCGTGCATATGTATGTGCGTGTGTATGTGTATCTACGAGGGGAACTAGCGAGGCGTGAAGTGCCCGAGCATTAAGGGCCCAATTGAGGGTTGGGCCTAATAGGAGGGAGGGGATAACCCTCCCTATTTTCCCGAAAAAAAAAAATTCTTGGTCGAACGTTAGCCCTGAGCCTGGAATATGATGGTCCTCGCCCAGGGCGGCCCTCGATCGTGAGCTTAACGCCAGAGGAGTTTTTCTTTGATAAGCGTTAAAGGTATTTGTTTCTTTTCCTCGTTGTGATTTATTTTTGTGGAACCATAGAGTTCCGGGCGGAAGGGTTAGTGCGTCGCTGGTGATGCGCCAGACAACTCACCACTGCGCCAAACCCCTTCCTGCCCTAGGGGCCGGCCTACCCCGCACCCCTTGGGACACCTCAGGGTGCAGAAGACGGAAAGACCCTCATGCCGGTCTTGCGCCCGCTAAAGGGTTACCCCCCTTAGTGCGCGCGTCAGCCAACGCCTGAGCGTCGAAACTAACCCCTCGGCTCAGGATAGGCCATTTGGGTATGGGCACCACATAATGCGCCGTCATCGCAGTTACTCACGTAAAGTTGCATAGTGAGATGGTATGTGTAGGTCGGGCGTCCGCGCGATCTTATATTAAGTCTGCACGCGTGACGCTCACCGATTCTCGCACTAAAAGGTTATGGGTCAGGCGGCGAAACCACGAGCACGACACGGTCAATAGACTGGGATTTTGGGTTTCGCGAAGCGGCACGTGGGCGAAGGACCAGTCCCAGGCGACCTATGGGGGTCCGTACACGGGACTCACTATCCCGGTCAGCGGGCAGCCTATGGATAGGATATTGGGCCTCCTCCGCACGCGTGTCGTTTGAACCTGTTTACCGCTTTTTTTATTCTAGGAGGCCACCGGCTAATGAGAGTTGGAGTGAGTTTCCTTTTTGCACTTTCATGGTTGGACGTTATAGTCTGTGACGGCCATCAAAGTCAAACCCCTTGATGTTTGACCGCCACAACAGATTAAAGTTGTTTACTCAACCCCTCTGCACAGGGTGCAGAAGAGGGTGTGGTCTCCAACCGTGCACGGCGGTTGTCCAGCGTCGAGAGATTAACCCTCAAGGCGCGTGTCAGCCGACACTTGAGTGTCGAATGCGATCCTCGAGATTAACGAGGACCGCGCGAGTATGGGTACTACATAGTACGCCATCATTGCGACTGCTTGCGTGCGTTTGCATTGCGAGCCGATATGGCTTAGCCTTCCGTCCGCGCGGTTTTATATCAAGTCTCGCGCGYGACGCCTATCCGATTTCCGCATTGGAAAGTTATGGGATGGCTACCGCGGGGCTAGGAGYGTTGTCGCGTAGTGTTGTTTTCGTGTGTATGTGTGTGTGTTTTATTTTTGTGTTCGTAAAATGGTTTGCGCGTGGTGTGTGGGATGCGTCCTAGTCGACCGACGTCGCGCCGCGCTTGGGACTTCAGCCCCCCAAGATGTCAGTTCGCGTGCGGGTTCGATAGGTGTATTACCGCGCGTACCCCCTATGCTAAAGCGAACGAGAAACGCCCTCGGCTGGTCCACCTCTGCGATTGCAACTGAGTACCTTTCGTATCGTGGACTGGTAGCTCGTCGGGGATACGCCCACCGAAGGGAGGTGACAACTCCCGTAAGGTGGAGGTAAGTTGTGTCTCGCGTAGGCCCTATCCTGTCGTAGGGGCTCGCGAGAGGTATGGTTGGCGCACTCGGCCGGAGCGGCCTGAGGGAGCTCCATTTGCGTGTTCATGACAAGGTTAGCTCAACTCCTGCGTGATGCGGTCGAGAGGGTCCCGCGCTGCCATGAGCGGTGCCGGACCGATGCGCTCGACAAGTGGCGCCGTTGCCGGAGATAACGGAAACCTACCGTTGTCCCTGGTGGAACGACATCCAGGTACAAGTGAGAAAATAGACATAAGAGAGTGATAAGTGTGATTGAAGTGAAAGGTAAGTGATGAGGGACTAAGTATAGAAAGGGGAAGTTAACAGTTGTATATGTGTATTTGGTTGTCTACCCGGCCCTAGCAAGAGCGTAAAGGGTGGCAATACTCACGTCGAGGGTGAGGCTAGGCAGGAGATGCTGGCTAGACCAGGTTGGAGTAGGATGCTAAGTAGGTGAGTGCCTTTGGTTTTCTCTTAGCAGGAAATTGGAAAAGGAGGCCTGCCAAGATGCCGGAGGGTGGTGAAGCCGGAAGGGTCCTGACCCTCGAGGACCTCATCGCAGCCCTAGATCGACATGAGAAGACCCCAAGTAATGTTCCGAGGGTTGAGACCTTCCACTTTGATGGGGAAAGGGTCTCAGACTGGCTAGACCTGGTGGAGCAGGCGATGGTGGGATTGTCAGATGAGGTGAAATTCCAGCGTATCATGAGGTACGTGCTCCATAGGCACCATCAGGAGGTGCAKAAGRTTGTGGATGCCGCCCAYGGCAGTTGGGCAAGATTCAGGGAGARCATGCTGYGCAAGTATYRGTTGGGTGATGGGTTGCTTACCATCYMAGATCTTGAGGGAATGAACAAGGACGACTTTACCACAATAGGGGCCTTCGTACAAGAGTTTAAGAAGAAGGCAAGGAAAGTTCACGGGATCTCTGAGGAGAGGCAGTGCGCTATCTTTCTGGGACTGATTACTGGGTCAGAGGCAGCCGAACGGACAAGTCATGGAGGAGGCAGCGCAAAGCTTACTTGGGCCACCATCGACAGAGGAGTGGAGGATGGGAGTTTAGACCAGGTAGAGCAGCATCAGATGCGCCTGCAAAGGAGGAAAAGGAAGGAAAGGGACGCTATTGCATCAGGGACCCAAGGGGTAAAGAGGATCGTCACTGATGTACTTGCGGCATTAGGCTATGGCCAGGATGTCGAGGCGCAGAGAAAGGCGGTAGCCGTGGTCCAAGGCTGAGGGAAAGAGGTGGGGGATGAGGGCGTCGGGCAAGAGGATTACGGTGGGGAGGAGACGGGGTCACAAATCCTTACCAAGGCCCAGCGGAAGCAATGCAATTTTTTGTTGGGTGGCCAAGGGTCTGACAAAGGACAGGCCCCCCAGACAATTGCTGCACCACCAGTAGCCGCAGTAACCGTGCCCATATCGACAGGGACGACGCCAATGGTGCCGCCCCTGGCCTGCGGACATTGGGTACCGCATTGTCAAGCGGCGCCCTGGCCCAGCTATAGTCATTGTACCTCGTGTGGAGGGGGCCAGACCCATACGGGACAGATGGTTCCATTCTCGGGTCCGTCAACGAGTGCAGGGCCGCCAAGTTTCCCGGTGACGCAAGGCCAATTCACAACCCAGCCTCCCCCCTCACAGCAAGCATCGCAGGCTAGTGTGGCAGGAGGAGGAGGCCAAGGGCAAGGAGGACATGGCAATGGTGGTCAGGGACAGGGAGGCCGAGGGGGTGGCGAACGAGGCCGAAATGGCGGGGGACGTGGTGGKAGATGGAGCAGCCAAGGGGGCCAAGGCCAAGGTGACCAGGGTAGTCAGCAAGGAGGCCAAGGGTATGGGAGGCCCCGCTTCGATTGGCGGAACACGACCTGCTGGCATTGTGGCGTTGTAGGCCACACGATTCGGTTCTGCCAGCAACGGTGGGATGATGAGCTTGCGGGCCTGATTTCCTCTTGTATGGATGGGGATATATACGACAAGTGGGGGGAGCACATTGACCCTAGGACCCCGGGAGGGATTAGACAAGAGGCCCTCAAGCGGGCAGCGGCAGGGCCATCGGCCGCCCCGGCCATATTTAGAATGTGGCAGGAGAGAGAAGACCCGGCCATAAGAGTCGAAGAGATCATGGGGGATAGTGAGGAGGTTACGCAACGATTAAAGGTCGGGGCCATAAAAGAAGAGCCGATAATTGTTGAGTCAGACGACGAGGAGAGAGAGGATGAAGGGGAGCCGGCCATAACCACCCTGGAAAAGATGGAGGATTTGATGGAAAAAATAAGGAGGTACCAGCGAAAACTGAAAGAGTTATGCAATGAAGTCCAAGGGTGGAGAGTCGACCTCCCAAAGGTCTTCCTCTATGAGACCGGGCCGGGGCCGGCAGCTGGACAGCAGAGTAGTCCCGGGGCTGCCATGGTGGGGTCTGGCCCCAGGTCAGGAATGATGTTCATACCGCCCACCCCGCATGGGCGGGCGCCGCAAGCAACTCAAACCAGGAGCCAAAGTAAGGCGGACCCTAGTCAACCACCACGCCAAGCGCCAAGTCAGGCACCTCCACGGAAGAGACCTGAGCCAGAGCGTAGAAAGGAGGTGGTCGAGGTCAAGGAAGAAGAGGAAGAGGATGACGACACGGAGGATGAGAGACTCCGTCAGGAGGAGGATCGGCGGACAGAGCAGAGAGCCCAGAGAAAAGAGGCGCAGGAGAGAGTCGAGCCAGGGACACAGGATGGTGTGCCCAGGAAGAGAAAGTACACCGTCAGGCTGGAGGAGGACTTTGATGTGGAAAGGATGGTGGACCGACTCCTTGAAGGTCATAACAACCTTATGAACATAAAAGACATTCTGGCGTCCGCACCAAGACTCCGGGAGGAGTTGAAAGGGCGATTGTCTCGAAGGTTAGTGCCCAACGTACATTTGAGAGTCGTCCTGCCTAGAGAAGTGGGATGGACACAAGCTGGGACAAGAATGGACTGGAAGTGCCTGTGCCATCGCAGGCCCTTTCTTCCCTCCAAGAAACCGATAGATAAGCTCCACTTCTCCTGCCTGTGGACACTCCAACACATGCTCTCGCAAGGCCTTAATGGCCTCCGAATCCGCCATTTCATGCGCTGCCACGATTTCCATAGCCTTACTTACGTCTGTAAGACTTAGTGACAGCACCTTCGCCCCGCCTTCCTCCTCGGACTCCTCCGTGAGCCTCCGCTACTCGTTCTCCGATTCCACATAGGTGAACGAGCCGAGGTTAGGCCTATTCCGCTCGCTCCCTGGCCCCGTGTTCCTGCAGCTGACAACTTCGTAGTTCCCACAGGCTGGGTCACTCAGGAGTAATATCATCGTTCCATCATGCTTGTTGAAGATCAGGGTCTCCGTTCTGCACATGAACGATCTGCCCAGAAGGATGGGATGGTCCACATCTGGCATGAAGAAAAAGCACGTCCTCGCTCGCACCTTGCCAATCTCTATGATCACATTTGACGTTGTGCCGCAAAAAACTGCTTTGCAATTAGCCCCGTGCACCACACTGTGATCCGCACGGTCAATCTCCATTCCGAGCATGAGCGGGCTCAAGCAGGGCGCCCAAAGGCGGTACAAAACGGTAGATAAGAAGTGTCGCCATGTTCCCGTGCTCGTTACGGAAGATGAGGAGGCTTATTACGAGCGGGAGCGAGGGTTGATACGGCGGATGCAAGAGCAGGCACTGAAGGATCCATGCCGTATCAATGATGGAAATGAAGAGAAATTAATAGTCGGAGAGCCAGGGTTTCTCTCGCCTCGGGAAAGGATGCTGATGGTACAGCTAATGAAGAAAAGGCATCGCGCATACGCCTTTAATAATGACCAGCGGGAGAGGCTGGAAGTGGACAAGATCCCAATGATCCGGATCCACACGGTCCCCCACGAGCCCTGGAATCTAAGGGGTGCGCGATACCCAAACCCTGATGAGGAGAAGATGGTGGTGGACTATCTGCATGGCAAGATGTGCACACATGTCGCCGGCTACTCTAGCGGTCTGTATGCTTCCCCTTGGTTCTGCTTCATTAAGCCGAACGGGACGCTACGGTGGGTTCAGGATCTGCAGCGACTAAATGCGGTAACGGTACGAGATGCGGGGGGCTTGCCAAACGCAGATGCACTGTCAGAGTCATGCGCGGGGAGGCCGATAATCTCACTTATCGACCTCTATTCCGGGTATGATCAGTTCCCTGTATACCCGCCCGATAGGCCGGTGACGGCGATGCACACGCCAAGGGGGCTAATCCACATGAATGTGGCCCCCCAAGGTTGGACAAATGCGGTGGCAATGGTGCAAAGACATATGATCAGGGTCATGCAAACAGTCAGTCCGCACATCACTCAGCCCTACATCGACGACTTGGCGGTTAAAGGGCCAAAAAAGAAAGAGGAGGATGAGGTGCAGCCCGGAGTGAGGCGTTTCGTTTGGAGGCATATCCAGGATCTCGATCGAGTCTTGGGGCTGCTAGAGGAGTACAACCTCACTGCAAGCGGGCCAAAATCCAAGCACTCCATGAGAGAAGCCACCATCCTGGGGTTTGTCTGCAACGAGAAAGGCCGGAAGCCAGACGTAAAGAAGACAGACAAAATCCTAGAGTGGCCGGTACCTTTCCAGACCATAACGGATGTGAGAAGCTTTCTTGGCACTTGCGGGTTTTGGAGGAGCTTCGTGAAGGACTTCGTCGCCAAGACTGAGCATTTAAGGAAGCTGGTGCGCCAGGACCAGGAGTGGGTTTGGGGCGAAGACCAGGAAGAAGCGGTAGCCAGGATGAAGGGAGAGTTCAAGGAAGGAGGATTGGTGTTGGGAGCGCCAAACTATGAAGGGACTGAAGAAAAGTCATTTATCATCGAGACAGATGCTGAGCCGACTGCATTGTGAGGGGTTTTGATCCAGGCGGACGCTGAAGGAAAGGAGAGGCCGCTAAGATTCGAAAGTCGTACTCTTAACACGACTGAGAGGAACTACTCTCAGTTTAAGAAGGAGACGCTTGCGGTACTCCATTGTCTAAGGATCTTCCAGAATTATGTTTTCGGCAGGAGATTTATATTGAGGGTGGACCCTACGGCGCTGGCCTGCTCTTTGAAGAATTATACACCATCTGACCCAATCGTCGCTCGATGGTTGACATACATTTGGATGTTTAATTTCGAGCTGGAAAGGATCCTGGGAAACAAGAATAGGGTTGATGGCCTGAGCCTCGTCAACTGGGAAAGTGTGGATCATGAGTCGAACGAAGACACCCCACCGGTCGATGGGTTCCTGGATCAGGAAGAAGATGTGCGACTCCATATAAACAAGTGGGCGCTCCGAGTACCCAGTTGTGTTAGCCATCCCATATGGATAGCACCAAGAGGATATGAGCGGAAGGCCGACTTAGTCCTTAAGCCATTTCAGAAAGAAGATCCGTGAGGACGCAAGGACACCCAGTGGATGGTGAAGTTGGCGCTGGCAGGGACACATGGCTTGGTGGAAGAGGTGAGGACAATAGAGGAAGGGCCTAACCCAGATAGAGGAACATGAGCAGCTAATGGGAGGGATGTATCTGCTCACGAATAAGCTCCTGCAAGGAGACTTCGACCGGAGAGGCTCGTTTAGTCATAAGGAGAATGAAATCCTGATTCCGGAAAACCAGGATGACGAGTTCGAAGAAGGGGAGATCAAGGAGGCATTCTGGGCAGAGGAATACGACGGGATCTATCTTGAGCTGGGCCTACTCCTATCCTGTGAAATGAGGGACAGGGATGCTAGTGATAAGGCGCAGAAGATGAGGCACCTCTACGTGGTGAGAGATGGGCACCTGCTTATAAAGCGGCAAGTTGGGAACCCCAAGCGGATTGTGTGTGGGAGGAACCGACAGTTGGACATCATAGCAGTATTACATGATGGTATAGCAGGAGGGCACATAGGGATAAGTGCCACGTGCACGAAGATAAGTGAGCTATACCACTGGGATGGAACGTTGACCATGGTCATTAAATACTGTCAATTTTGTGTCCCGTGTCAAGAGAGGTCAGCGCAAAGGCCGGGAGAGCCCCTGCAGCCAAGGTTGGAAAGGGAGGTGGGTGTGGTTGTACACCTGGACCTATTGTTTATGCTAGTTGGGGAAAATGGATGCAATTATATCTTCGATGCCCGGGATAACCTCACTGGGTTTGTGGACGGTCGGGCTATCCGAACGAAGACTAGGCCAGTTTTGGCGAATTGCATCGAGGAATACTACCTGCGCTATCCTTTCGTCAAGGAGTTCATGATGGATCGAGGATCAGAGTTTACCTGCAATGAGGTGCGGACCTTGCTCGCAGGGTATGGGGTAGTGGCCAACTACACTACGACAGCGCACCCTCAAGCAAACACTCCTGTGGAGAGGGGACACAGTACCATCACGAATCTCTTGGCTAAGTGGACAGAGGGCAAGCCTGGTCAGTGGCCGAAATTCCTGCGAGCGGCTTTCTTTGTGGAGAACGTTACGATGAAAAAGACTACCAAGTATGCGCCAGCCACGCTATGGTATGGGAGGCACGCCACCTTTCCTATAGAAAGTTTTATGAAGAGGTGGAGGCGCCAGGACTTGGAAGTAAACCTGTCCTTTGAGGAACTGCTCGATATCCGGGCACGACAAGTGGGGGAGGCCGAGGAAAGATTGCGAGAAGCCGCTAGCCAGGTAGAGAGAAGTCGCATGGAGGATAAGATGAGGTGGGATCAAATGGCCCGAGTGCGGAAGGAGCCCTTGGCAGTGGGAGATAATGTGCTATTATACGACTCATCCCTGGAAAAGCAGTGGTCACGAAAACTTGGCAAAAGATGGTTGGGGCCCTACAAGATTATGCGATGCGGCGAATTTGGGGCATACCAGATCGAAGAGCTAAAGGGCACAGAGTGGAAAGATTGGGTATCCGGGACGAGACTAAAGAAGTTCGTGGCCAGGGAATAGGTAAAGCCGTAATCCCTCCCAGTAGCTGCGATCCCTCCCAAAGTAGACCCTCGTCCTAAGTATTGCATGCCATGATTGGAAGCGAAGAAAGGCTTGATGTGTCTGAGGTTTGGGCGTGTATTTTCTCTGAAGACTATTGAACCCATATGCTGATCCTGTCGTGTGCCTGTTCGTTTCGTTTCGCCTGATTTGCAGGTCTGACTTTTTGAAGGCAACCATGCAGAGGGGCGGGCAGGGCACGCGGCCACGACAGAGACCTCTCGGGGCATCCGGGGGGGAGGAGCGGCATGGGCCCTTCAGGAGAGAGCCCACACCCGTGTTTGATGACAACAACATCGTGCTCTTCTTGGACGCCTACCGAGAGCATGCAGCCCAGAGAGGATGGGACGTGCCTGAGAGGGTACGTCACTTGAGGGGAGTTGGGAGGTTCGAGGAGCCCATTGCGCAAATCAGGGAGGAGGCCCTGACTTGGTCAGAGGTGGAAGCAAGGATGCAGAGATTGAGAGCTTCGCCTTTGGGGAATGATGGACTACCTAGTATCCGCTTGGAGGAAGGGAACGTAGAGGAGTTCATCCCGGCATACGAACAATATATGAGTGATCAGGGGGTTCCAAGGGATGAATGGGTGCAGGCGCTACTTATTTGGACCAGAGAAGCAGAGCGTCCGCTGGCGAGACAGATTCAGGGTCGGGCACGAGATTGGGAGGATTTTCGGGCCCAGCTAAGGGTGGCGTTTCGGCGACCGGAACCAAAGAGGCCAGAACCAAGGGTTGATAGAAGGCGGCGGAGCAAGAGATTAAGGGATTTGGAGGCAAGAGAGCCGGTGACGTCGAGGGGTGGCCGCAGCGGGAGGGAGGACAAGCAGGACCGGCTAGGGCCAGGGAGTCCTTCCCTGCTTGTGGCCTCAGGCAGGTGGAGTTCCATCAAGTCACAGAGGGTGACCTACTGGGGCCCTCGCCACAAGCGTCAGAGCAGAGGGAGAGCGAGGTACCAGCAGCGCCTTTCAGGAGTCTGGAGGCCCACTTGGACGCGTCCCAATGGGAGGCCCCTTCAGCAGGAGAGAGCCCCACGGACCCATCAGGGGGAGGGCAGACTCGCCCAGAGCCACTCAGATTGAAGGGGGTAGGTGCGGAAGATGTCATTGTGGTGGAAGGTGATACTCCCCCTGACTCCCGAGCTCGAGCTCAGACACGGTGGTCTTGGCCAGAGGGCATCCCAAAGCCAGACAGCCAGGATGCCCCAGTACCACCACCAGAGGCCACTATGTCACCCAGGCAGGAGGTTGAGGCGAAAGGGCCGGGGGAAGGGTGGAGGACGGAGCCCCGCCTAGTTGTCGACTCACGTTTAGCCGCGCATGCAGCTAAGCACCCTGACATTGAGGGGCCCAGCCTGGTTGGGCCATCATCGGGGCCAGCACGTACTGAGTTAGAGGAGAGCTCACAAGTTGCGACTGAGGGAGTCGCGGAGGCAAGCCCAGGGGAAGAGCCAGGCGAGGCCGCCCAAGCAAAGCGTGTCAGGGTACGAGCTCGCCTTGCGGAGATACATGAGCGGAGAGACAGGATGGAGGCTGCAGGGATAGCGCCAAGGCCACCAGTCGCCCCAAAGACAAGTGAACAGAGGATTGACGAGTTGCGGGCCAGATATGAGGGGCGGAGGGAGGCAGCTCGCCAAAGGGCACGAGAGACGGGCCAGGTGATTGAGGGTGCAGACGAGGTGATAGAGGTTGGGGAGCTGGGTTTTGCCGCCACTAGAAAGGCCGTCGAGTGGGTGGACAAGGAGATAAAGCAGACATCCATCGAGGCCTTTCAAAGGTACTCCCTGCTCAGTGACGAACTGGCCCTCAGGAAAAACGAGGTGGAACAGCTGACTGCCCAACTCGCAGAGGAGAGGGCTGAGAACAAGGCCAGGCAAACTCGCCTGGAGGCGAAGGAGGCCGAGTGGGAGGCAAAGCTTAACGAAATGGCGGCCGCAGTGGAAAGGCTTGCCGCTACCAAGGTGATCGACTGGACTGAGTAGAACAGGAACGGCATCCAAGGCGAGGGGGTGCGGGGGCTGTTTGGCCAAGAGGAGGCAGCAGAGGCATCTCCACAAGAAAAGTTGGGGAAGGTATTTCTGGACCCAGCTGAGGCAGAGGCAAGGAAGGAAGCCAACAAGGGAAGCTTTGAGTTCAAGGCTCCCACTGAGCTGGCTTCACAGCAGGAAGGCCCTACTTCAGCAGAGACCCCTAAGGAGGCGCTGACCCAAGAGCCCCAACCTGCACCTGAAGAAGAGGGGGAGGCTGAGGAGTCACTGACGATCCTTCTAGAGGTACAGGAGGGGACTCTCACTAGAGCGGTGGAGCCTCCACAGCTTGAGGCGCAAGGGGAGGAGTCGTCACGTCTGGACGAGTTGATAGCAACCATGGAGGTGGATACGCCGCCAGAGAGGCCTCAGGGACTGGAGACCCCAGAGCACGATCCAAAGTTGGAAGAGTTGAGGGTACAGCTGGGCTCGTGGGCCACCGAGACTGACTCGGGAGGACCGACTACTGACCAGAGGCAGCAGGAGGCCACGAGCCAGCCTACTAGAGTCGCTACTCCCTAGGCTCCGAGGCCCTGTGAAAAGGAGGAGGAAGCCATATTGGAGGTAACCCGCGAGGGCCGGCCACTGAGATTGGATACCCCTGAGTACCAACCCGAGAGAGCAATGCAGCAAGGGGAGTCAAGTGCCCATGGAACCGAAGGGGAAGCTGAAGGACCGTGGCACCTGCCCCAGAGTCATGAAGTGAGTAAGGAGAAGGAAGAGGCGCCTTCGTCGCCAGGAACCCAGAAAAAGAAGAAGAGATCTCAGAGGAAGTCGGGGGCCATGTGCTTCTACTTCTTGGATGGCGCGCATAGGGCCTTGGAGTGCCCTAAGCTCCTCAACGACAAGGCTGAGGGACGGGTTACTGAGGAAGATGGCAAGATGTATGATAGACAGGGCCGAGTGGTAGAAAGGGCTCCGGACGGGGGTCGAGCCCAGTTGTATAGGCAAAACCAGGAGGAGATGAGCGAGTGAGGGGCTGGTTCGGCTATACGCTAGTAGAAGTGGGGTGTTTTCTGTACATAGAAAGAGTAAAGTCAAGGGCATAGGGTGTCACGAGTCGAATACGTGTATCTTAGGGTGTTGCATGCGACAAAGGACCAATGTACAATAAGGTTTGAGGCTCTGTCCGTGTTGTGATCCCAGAAAACGAGACTTAGTTGTGTGATACTTAGGACACCCGATTGTATTTACTTTTTTGTTGTTTTTGAGCTCGGAGCCCACCTATAGGTGATGTAAGAATCAGTCACACCTAGGGTATGAGCCCACTGGATATGAGAGGGGGCAGAACACTTGAGTATTGATGTTGAGATTTAAGAGACACTCTATTGTTAAGAATATACTGAGTTGGGACTTTGAGGCTACTCCCCTTTGTATGACGATCACTCTCACTCTCACATGTGTAGTCTTCCAATGTATGATGCTTTGTGTGGGATTTGTGTGACAAACAACTCATATATTTATGCCTTGTGAATGAATGTAAGCTGTCTACTCTTTGGTATACTCGTGCGACCTGCCCATGGGCAGATGCTAGAGCCAAGTATAAGGAGAGGGAGCGCAGTCTGTTTTGTGAAAGAGAGTTGTAAAAATCCAAAAGGGTCTATGAGTCCTTGGGACTCGAAAGCTTATCATGCCAAATGTTAAAGTATTTAAATTGTATTAGGGACCCATAAGTTGGTCCCTTGTGTTGTACTGTTGCCATGATTGAATTGTACACTATGAATTATTTGGGAGACTTATCTTCAGAAGAGGAAGATGTTTTACACAGGTCATGTGAGAACCCATCCTAAGGAAGAGAAGGATGGCTGATAGGCCTATGGAGTGAGACCTCCCCCATAGGGAGGATGATTAATAGATCTAATGGCATAAAAAGTTGGGTTGGTAAGATGAAAGACTGACGAAAGGAACCAGGTTTTACCGGCCACTCGGTGAAATTTCTTGAGAATGTCGCAAAAACGTTTGTTTTTTAGAGGTGTCCCTGAGGTGTGTGACCCTCTTACCCTGATCAAGTTAGGGAGTCACGGCCTGGTGGATCTGGCGGTGCCCTATGGTTGTGAATGTGGAGAGGTGGCCATGTCCTCACTGTGTTGTCCCACGGAGAGCTGGTAAATGCCTGTCATATGTGACAAGCCTATGCGTAGTCCTGCAGTAGACCTGTATTTGTTGCGACGCACCGTCCGACCACTCGTGCTAACCGCAAGCCACATAAGGAAGACCAAGCTAAACGGTAAAGTTTTAGCACCACTAGGGCGTAACCCCTAGGGATGGCCGCGGACCGGCACAACCTGGCCGCGGCCCCACGTCTGACCACGGGAGTAAAGACTTAAAGAGTGTGGCCGCCCGAGAAGGTTTTACCCCTGTGGAACGGCCTGGGATAGGAGTCGAGTCATATGAGTCTTTTGGGAAGTCCTGATTGAGTACTTATCAGGAGAAAGCCTATCGTGGCGCAACCTGGGAGGGCACTACCGCAAGAACAACAACGCGGCAGGCCGTAGATCAGGCCTGATCGCCCTGACTATGGTGGGCCAAGATGGAGACATCGCACTTCTGTACTAGACTGCGGAGGCTGCAGAGAGAGAGTTAAGGGCGCACGTAAGTATGCTTCTAATCGTGGAGGACTCTTGAGGGGAAGGCGAAAAAGCCTTCAAACGTCTCGGTTATGGCCCGCGTCCCCAGTTATGACCCTGCTTACCAGGTAAGGGTTGGGGACAACCAACGAGAGGCCGGCGTTTGTTTAGTACAAAACGACGAGGACGGGTGTGAGGGTCTTTTGGAACTTATGCTGTACTACTGATGCGTAGTACACTGGCGTCCTAGTGTCAAGACAATGAAGACCCAGGTTGAAACCCTCGCAGGATATAGTTGTGTGGGCATGGACCGCTGGGGGCCTCGAACCTGAGTCTGTCGGCTGATCAGATTGGTTCCTTCTCATCAGCATTCTTTTGTGTGTGGATGGATTGATAGTTTTTTTATCTTGCGAAGCGACGGGGACGTCGCTTAATATAGTTCGGTAGGTTGTTGGCGCGAATATCCTTGCAAGGGTATTCGCCCTATTTTTTGCAAGTGACAGCGGGGCCGAGGGTCCAGACCTGTGTGATCAAAAGGCTACCCATTTATGGACCAAGGTTGTCTTAGTAGGTAGGATGAGTGGGCGCGCAGTTTCAAGGCGCGCGTGTGATTTTGCCCCTTTGATTGTAGTGTTGACGCAGGCGTCTGACTTGACGTCACGCTCTTGACTAGGCCGGGAATTAGTGGGATGACCCTCGTCCACTACGTTTGACCGGCGGCGGGGCCGATAGGTAGGATGGTACGTAGGGCGGCCGTGGCACAGCCGGGGAGGCCAGCGTGATTGTTAGGTAGCCCCGCGCCTGGCCATAGGTGGGGGCAGGGCCTGCGATGTCCCCCTCGGCCCTAAGTACCGGACTGCACTACTTCAGTACCACTTTATTTGGGATCCACCGCCTGCTGATCCCAGGATGGGGCTTAGCCCTATAGGTTACGGCAATGGGTTACTACGAAGGAGGTTCAGGGATCAAGGCCAGCGGGTGGAGACGCGGGAGCAGCGGAGAGGCGAGGAAAAGCCAAGGGGTTGAGGGCCGCCAGGGCTATTCCGCCTCAGCTTTTGCCGATGCGGGTGGCGGCGGACCCGACCTACGGGACTGAACGGGCTGCGACAGCCCCTGTACCCCTGAAGGCCCGACGTTATGGGTTTGTGCTCCTACCTTTATTCTTATCTTTACCTTTTTTTTTTTTATTCGTTTTGGGGGGGGGCTAACATGCAGGCCGCGGTCGGACCAGGCAAAGAAGGTGTGTAGTGGCCCCCCCCGCCTATAGTAGGAAGATGAGTACTGCCCGGGGGTGACTCCTTCAGGGCACCCGCAAAAGTTTGAACGATACAGGAAAAATCGGCCTGGCCCCCGCGCGAGAGCAATCTGTATAAGTCAGCAAGGGGCCCGACGACCGATTGATTCTTTTGACGGGCCACATGAAGCCGGAGAGGCAGATTGCCGAACGATGTGGGACCGCCGAGGATGAGTAAAGCAGAGATACTAAGCGGAGGGATGGACGTAAGCGGGAGTAAAAGAAGATGAGTGAATGTGGGTGTGGATTTGGGTCAGATGGGCCTAGCGGGAGAGATGGCGACCACGGACTCGAATAAGGCAGAAAGGGCGGAGCGCAGGCGGTAGAGGGAGGTTTTGAGGAGGAAGAAAGGCGCTCCGGGGGTTTCGGGGCAGACGGCCCCGGATCTGAGGTTAGATCGGCACATGGGAGGTTGTGTTGAAGGATACGGGGAGAGGAACGTGTGTCAGGGCCATGGTGGAAGCAAGTGGGAGCGGGCGGAGGCAAAGAGTGCAAACCCCACGCGGATTGATGATGTAGCTGGGCGGAGGAGGAACCGAAGTAGTGAGTTGTGAGAAGGCGAGTCAGAGTTCACGGATGGACTGAGGAGAAAGTTAGTAGAGGTGGTGGTAGAGT